ATTGGCATAGATACATCTGCAACAACAAAGATCCAGTGAATGGGTTTGCGTAAACCCACGTTCAGGTAAACGTACCTTTTACCATATGTGACAGTAGGCTTTCCGTTTGCCGCCTGGAGGTTTAAAACCGATTCGTGAAGTCGGTCGTTAGAATCTGCTCGAAGAAAGCTAACTTCTGCGACAGCATCGACGAGGTGGCGAACTTTCGTTATCACATCTATGACGTATTACAGAGGGCAATGTTTGCCGGCCACGGTTGCCCGTTAACGCGTGCCGGCTTGGAAGTTTCCCGATTTGTTTTGCGTGTCAGTTGATTTTGAGTTGGGAAAATCGCATGGTTTTCCGCACTTTCTGGAAGACTTTCCTTACTGGTTATGAAGCCGGCACCAGTCGGGGTTATCTGTCTCTCATGGTCTAGAGGCTATTCACTCACGTGAAGTGCTTCTTCGCGGAGTCTGTGACCATTTACGGTTATTACGAAATCTAAGATAAAGTTTAAGTGTACGATATAATTCCGTAATGTCATTCTTGGTCGTTTGAGGTTTTTCTTTGACTGAAAAAACCTCGGGATTAGAAGAATTCGTAATTTCTAAGATGTGGGCGGCAGATACGGCCAGCTAGTCTACGGCGTTGTTTTGAAATGAGAACAGCACAGCTTGCACCTGCTGATGAAGCTTAGATAAGGAAAGTTGTCTGAATAAGCCATCAATGAAGATTCTTTGGCCGATAACCATTCTCATTCTCAGCAACATGTCTGTCGCAGAATCGTGTTTCAGATCTATATTATTAGGGAGTTGGTCTAACCTCTGGCGATCGGATAGACCTCTGCCTTTAAGGATAGATCGTTTAAATTTTTCGTAGGGTTGAGAAACATCACTAGTGAACATGCTAAGTGTTACGTACCTGTTGAATTCGCGCGGTAGTGCCTTGACTACTGCGAGGAATTGTGCACGTGTGTCGTTCACGCCGTGCTCGTGGAAGTTAGCATCTGCATAACAGAACCAAGCTTCGGTGTTGTCTGGTCAGAAGGGCATTAGTTAGAACGAAGGTGGAAACAGACTCAGAGTTTGCGATTTGGTGTACCAGATCACGCCAGGTTCAACAATGAAGATGCCACAGGTGTTTGGAGATTGACAACGCTTTAACCAGTAACATTTTCTACTATGAGTCGTACCCACCAAGTGAAATCAAAAGATAGAAGCGAGGAGGTTCGAAGGTATGTTTGATAAGCTATCAATATATCGAGGATCGACCGATCTAACCTGGCCAGCGATTGCAAGGGATGTTGAGCACGGTGTTCACACTCGTGATATGGTGCGGATGCATGACCGAGCGCTTTCAGCTACGTGAGTCCACTAGGACTAATGTGGTCAGCATCCAATATTGAAGACTTACAGATCTATTGATTTTGGGGATTTATTTACCGCTACAGTATAGAGAGAACGGCCACCGGTCGGTAGCTTGAAAGTTCGCTGAGTCGAACTCCTTTGGAAATTGGTACGATATGATCCAGCTTCCAAATTTTCAGTAGTTTGCCTCGGCTTAGCGAGTGTGAGGACATCACACCAAGCGTTGTTGCCAGGATTCAAGCTGCTTCCCTCAGTATAGCAGAATGAACCATATCCGGGCCATGAGAAGTGTTTTTTCTAAGGTGTGCAGTTTCCAGTACACCACTTCAGCGCTCACTTTCACTTCGGAAAGTCCTGTGCAATTGCAGATGAAGCTCTCATCGATATAACTAATGTGGGTCGGTCGCAATGTCCGAGAGTATTGTTCAGCCAAAAGGTCAGCGGCGTCACCGTCGTTTTTGGTCGGGCCATTAGAACCTAGCAGTTGAGAAACTCCAGTTTTGGCTTGTAGAAGAGAGGCTGCATAACGGAATACGCTTTTCGGATTGGAGACAAGTTTATCGATAAGCTTTATCTGGTACTGAAGCCTATTTTCTTTTATTGCCTTTGTTCATTTGTTCCTTATATGTTCGTATTGCCTGTATGCCCCGTTGTTACCAGTTCGTTTGTATTCTGCCCAACAGTGCCTTTTGCGGCTTAGTAAACGAAGAGTGCGGTTCTTGATGACTGTAGGTTGCTTGTAGATTTTGGAGATCATTTAAGGAACGGATTGCTTTGTAGCACATAAAAGCGTGTGAAGTAAGAAATCCCAAAGAGCTTACACATCAAGTTGAGGGTAAACATCCCAATCCGCCAGCTGTAGATAGTCCTGTGAAGCTGACAGCTTCAACCGTTTGAAATTCCAGCGCATGTTGTTGTTGGGATGTCTCAGTCCAGTTTTGCTGATAAATACCCAGTCTAAGCGTGGCGGCGTCTGACTGTTTCTCCACCGAGTTTCCGACTTTACATTTTCGAATAATCCCAGATCCTCAGTGAGGTTGAAGAACCGAGCTTCAGTCAAGTTTTTAATTCCAATAAACGTATGTTCCGTGAAACTGACTTTGGGAAGGTTGAAGTTCCCTAGAATCAGGATGTGAGTGAATCCGAGACGCGTAGAGCCTGAGAATCCCTCCAGAATGCGATTGTCACTCGATATCAGCAGTGGGCTTCGTGTAGATAACCCCAACTAGACACATCGAGGTGGTAGAAAATCTTATTGAGTACCATACGGATACACCAAGATTGATAAACTCTTGGTTGTGCACTTGATGTATTTACAGGAAAAATCGCAAGTATAAGGCTACTCCATCACTCGTTCCTGTTTTTCTGTCATTGCGAAACAAAGACATCCCGGATGTTACTAGCTACTGGTCCGTAAACTGAGAATATGTTTTAGATATTCCCACCAGATGAGTATTATTAGTATTACTGAGTTCATGCAGCTCATCTATTCCATTCAGTAAACTCGTGGCGTTCATTTATAAGAAGTTTATGTTTTCAATTTGAAACGCGTGAGCTTCCTTATCCTGTTCATCTGTATGAGCCTTGTATGGATTGACAGGTAACCTACCTACACAGGGTTTTCCGACTTGGTAACCACTGTAGTTTAAGTTTTCTTGTGATCTAGACAGGCCACAAGTGGAACAGTCGGCTCCAACTTGCTTTTGTGCTTGATCCTGGCATCATGTGGCCTATCTGGGTGCATATGTATTCCAGTTGGCAACCAACGTCTGTTGACACGAAATGCTTCCGGAGTTGCAGCCGCCATATGTGTGAATGAGAAAGTTATCTTCATTAGCGGAGGTCTAGAATCTCCGTCTTTCTTGACCAGTCTCACTGTTTGTTGAGTCAATATGTTTTTGAGCCCAAAGGACTGCTTGGTGAATTTCCATTCCCGAATATAAGAGTGGTCACGGTGCGTGTTTTCACGTACACCTTGCACAATGATATTTCATCAACGGAAAAACTTCTCACGAGATTTATTAGGGATGTTCCTTATGAGATTGCGCTCAGAATATGGTATGTCAGACAGTATTCTTACGTTCCCATGTGATTTCAGTAAGTGACTAGCTAGTAGGATATCCTCTACGTCTGTGGCATTAGTGAGTGTTACACGGAGTAGCCTCAGGTGATTTTGATGCTTAGATCCTTTTCCCCGAGTGAGCGGTGTGACCGTGAAGGGTTCTATTTCGGGAAGTCTGAACTTCTTGTTTAACTCTTTCCAGGGCATCCGGTTACTTTTGCCCCGCAGGCTGAGGGGAAGGTCAGGACTGTCTTTAAGGTTCATGATTATGAAAGAATCGTCATGAACCTATATTGTCTTTCCAGGTTAGGGACCATGTTGTTTGGAGTTCGAAGTGGGTTTCCGATTCCTTTGCTCTTTGATGACCGGACGGACATTCTTGGGGGTAGACTGGGCGGTTAAATCGTCAGATGATTTTCCTACAGCTCTTAGAACGTTCAGCTTCTTAGACGCCTGGCCCTTTTCGACTTCGGTAACAGGGTCCAATCACCCACAGAGTTTTGAGGAACTACTGTTGCGTTTAGGGACCCTGTGCTGGGAGACCCAAGTCTGCTGGGAGAGTCTTTTACTGTCGACGTTATGATGATGCTGAGTTTCATCATGTCATCACTAGTGTTATTACATGCTCCATCGATAGTGGAGATGTCGAGATCCCTTGTTTTCGTTGCGCGTCCTTATTTGTCTTCCTGTTTTGTGACTGTCTTTCTTCGAGTTTGCTGACAACTTATTCAACAGACCTGTCAATAGGACAATGACGTTACTCAGCAAAACTTCAGCATCCGTTATGCACATGACACATACCCACCTATGGTTCGAGTTACTGAGTCTGTTTTAAGCAGTTGCTGTGAGGTCTGTGAACGCCTCATTGAACCAACCTTTGTAGTTGTCGCACTGCATGCAAGATGTAACAGCAAAACGACTTCCAGGTCGTCTGCATGAATTTTTCATGACCATATTGACGTAAAACGTTTTATAGATGCTAGCAAAAGCCTAAGACCGTAAAAAAATAGTACACTTAAAATGGGCAAAAATGGGTAAAAACGTTTTGCGATAAGCTGAATCTAGCCTTTACGTGAAAAACTGAAAAAAACCGAATAGGACTAAACGTCCCGTTCGAAAAGCGCGCGATGACAGTTTCCTATAGCTGCTAGCCATTCTAGATTAGTCACTTCTCAATATGTGGGTATTCTATCAAATATATCTTCGGGCCTCTTCTCTTCTGACTTCTGATCTCACTGGGTTGGTAAGTCTCGATTATAGAATTTTGCACTGGTTAAGGTGTCGTCAGACTCCGAATACATGTGACCTCTTTACACCGAATTTATAATTTGGCTAACTTCAAAATTTATCCCAAGTTAACCGATCCGTAATGCTTCTAACTGAAGATAAGGCCCATAGATTCGAGCTTAGCCAGAAGGTACATTGTGTTCATGGTTGGGCGAATCTGGAAACGAACAAACGATAAGCAATATAAAGGCTCAATAAGTACAAAGAGAGCTCATCCATTCAATAATTAAGCTGACACAAAACAATCAGCGACTACAGAAGCATAAAATATGGGAAGTCTGATGATGGGAACTAGTGGTTAAAAGAATTAGGCGCCGTTATTGTATTATGCGCTCCGAAGGACTCAGCAAAAAGGAGGACATTCTTGAATGTGTAAATAGTAAGGTAGATGACAAAAAACTGCGACAATTTTCAATCAGTCGATATGGGTTAGTGGATAACGATGTTAGAAAAGTTGTATGGCCAATTTTAGTGAGAGGAAATTGCGAACTACCAGATATAGGTAAAGTCAATACACAGTGTGTGAACCATCTCTTGTCATGTATATTTTGAAATATGAATAGTTTCTGTTCGGAGTTTGTACTGTGAACTTATTGGCTTGTTTGATTTTTACCTCGAATCGTAGGTGACTTTTTATTACTCCTTATTTTAATCAAATGTAAAGTACATTTGAAATTGTAGTTAGCATCTAGTCTAACATTTTGTAATACGTCATAGTCTTCAAACCACTTAGCGTTTATCAGATTAGAATTTTACCGAGTTTCGTTACACTTAACATTTGAAGGTTTCGTCACCAAAATTTATGGGATTTCGTCTATAATCATTTAGTCTCCAATCTACAGTAATTAAGATATTAGGTTGGTGAACCTGTGTTAGTCCTGACAGATTGCCTTCCAATAAAGGTCCAGCTTTACTTTGAGAATGTTCACTGATGGGGCTAATACCACTGGTTTGGGTAAGGTTTCCCAGTCATTGACTACTCGATGAGGAAACGGGACCCCACTCTAAGTTTTTTAGATCGCGGCTTGTGAACCTTCTTGCTTTGACCTCGGAGATTATTAATGCTACAGAGAGCAAAAATATAAGACATTAACACCCAAATCACAATTAAAGATACGAAATGCCAGTATAAGGTCACCTCACGTCCTACGATACGACAAGGGGAGAAGGTTTAGGCGTTTTAAACGCTCTTCGTAAGGGCGTTTAGAAGGACCCTTTACTAATTTTGTTCCCACACGCTGGACACGTTCAAGTGAGTTGGTATGCTTTACCAGACATGAGCTAGCTGCTCGGATACAGTGCTCTAAATGTGGTCTCACATAGGCGGGATATAAAATTCAAAACATTTCCTCGTCAAAGCATTTGAATGCTCGGCGAAGTGACCATAACGCACGAGAACCTTTGACAGAAGCTGCGTTGCAATGTGTAGTTGTTTTCAATTTATCACTTATTATTACTCCTAAGTCTTTATGTTCTTGAACGCGTGGAAGAGGTTTACCATCAATAGTATAATGGTAACTATTACCGTGACCAATGTGCATTAGCACACTCTTCCTAGAATTGATTTCTAAGCCTCAACCTCGAGTCCATCTAACTAATTCGTCTAAGTGCGCTTGGAGATCAAAATGATCAGCCTCACTTTTCATTGCTCTCCAGATTTTTACGTCATCCACAAACAGTAATGTCGACGACCTAAGCGACAGCCTTAACTCGTTAACATAGAAAAGGAAAAGCAAGAAGTTTAAGATAGTTCCTTGGAGTACACCAATTTTGACCGGCTTCCAATCGGATGGCGTTCCATTGACCCTCACTCTCTCTCTGCGGTCACATAAGAAGTTTCCTATCCACTCCTGTACAGAACCTATTATTCCGAAGCCCGAGAGCTTCTGCATAAGACCTAAGTGTGAAACATTGTCAAATGCTTTGCTTTGGCTTCCAAGATCTGACTACCCGAAAACCCTTAATCGTAAGGTTAGTTTCACCACTTAACTTTCTAGTTCTTAACTCCTTAAGAGCACTCTTCCACTTGATTCGATCCTCAAGCGGCCAGTCTGGTCGGATATGAATATTTGAATCACGAGTTTTTTGTGCGTTATTCAATACTATATCTCTTTCGCCGAAATTCCCGAGAACCAACTTCAAGATCCTTCTTGGTTGGGTCTAGCCTCCAACCAATTTACCAAGTCGTATTACTTTCGTGATATGTACCCCTGGAACCTCTTCAGGTAGTACGTTTCTTACCACAGATTCCATCAACTGCAGATCATGTGCATGTTTCTTAGCAGGGTCGTTGTCTTTCGACTCCTCTACATTCCAAATAATTAAACTAGGAAGGGATTTAACTTCTTTTGAAATCGTGTTCACGGATTTCGATCGTGATGTTAGATCCTGCATATTAACTACTGGCATCTTACAATTAGTTTTCATTGTAACAGAGTCATGGGAGTCGAGCGAATGACTCACAACAATGTTTGACAAGGCTTTACTTTGGGACTTTGGCGGAGTAGTCTGTGAGCCCACCAAGGACTTATCAAGTAAACGGGCATTAGTTTTGACTATCTTTCCTACTCTTCTGCGTTTCCGCGTCATCCACTTCCCACCAGTCGTAGCATCTACATTAGAACTACTCGAGCAGCAAAACATACAAAACCAATGAGAGTTGGGCTTTGAACACGTTTAGGTCACTTAGGTCGTCGACATTACTGTTTGTGGATGACGTAAAAATCTGGAGAGCAATGAAAAGTGAGGCTGATCATTTTGATCTCCAAGCGCACTTAGACGAATTAGTTAGATGGACTCGAGGTTGAGGCTTAGAAATCAATTCTAGGAAGAGTGTGCTAATGCACATTGGTCACGGTAATAGTTACCATTATACTATTGATGGTAAACCTCTTCCACGCGTTCAAGAACATAAAGACTTAGGAGTAATAATAAGTGATAAATTGAAAACAACTACACATTGCAACGCAGCTTCTGTCAAAGGTTCTCGTGCGTTATGGTCACTTCGCCGAGCATTCAAATGCTTTGACGAGGAAATGTTTTGAATTTTATATCCCGCCTATGTGAGACCACATTTAGAGCACTGTATCCGAGCAGCTAGCTCATGTCTGGTAAAGCATACCAACTCACTTGAACGTGTCCAGCGTGTGGGAACAAAATTAGTAAAGGGTCCTTCTAAACGCCCTTACGAAGAGCGTTTAAAACGCCTAAACCTTCTCCCCTTGTCGTATCGTAGGACGTGAGGTGACCTTATACTGGCATTTCGTATCTTTAATTGTGATTTGGGTGTTAATGTCTTATATTTTTGCTCTCTGTAGCATTAATAATCTCCGAGGTCAAAGCAAGAAGGTTCACAAGCCGCGATCTAAAAAACTTAGAGTGGGGTCCCGTTTCCTCATCGAGTAGTCAATGACTGGGAAACCTTACCCAAACCAGTGGTATTAGCCCCATCAGTGAACATTCTCAAAGTAAAGCTGGACCTTTATTGGAAGGCAATCTGTCAGGACTAACACAGGTTCACCAACCTAATATCCTTATAACTGAAGACTGATATCTATGATTGTCTTTCCGCGTTCAGAGACAAGGATCATGTAATAACCGCAATTTCCTTAAGCTTCCTGTAGCTACTGAAACCTTATGTGTTGGCCCTAATTTCTCCTCATATAGAAGTATAGCTTTTAAGCATATACAGGAACTTAGGACAATGGTTCTGAAATTTTTTAATTTCGGACGAACAACACGTGAACATATGTAGGTTTTTTTTAGCACCATTTATATATTTTTTTCTACTCCACCACTACCTTTACTGTGACTCGTAAATATGTTATGGAGGAAAATTTTATTACCAGACGAAAACTTTGATTGTTCAAGTCAGTGGACAGAATGCTACTTACTTACTTACTTACGCCTGTTACTCCTCGTGAAGGAGCATAGGCCACTCACCAGCATTCTCCATCCAACCCTGTCCTGGGCAATCCTTTCTAGCTCCGTCCAGTTGTAATTCATCCTTTTCATATCTGCTTCTATTATCCGACGCAATGTGTTCTTTGGCCTTCCTCTTTTTCGCTTCCCTTCAGGATTCCAAGTTAGGGCTTGCCTCGTGATGCAGTTTGACGATTTGCGTAATGTATGTCCTATCCATTTCCATCGTCTTTTCCTAATTTCTTCTTCAGCTGGAAGTTGGTTTGTTCTCTCCCACAGAAGGCTATTGCTGATGGTATCCGGCCAATGGATGTTGAGTATCTTGCGTAGGCAGCTATTTATAAATACTTGTACTTTCTTGATGTGGTTGTTGTAGTTCTCCAAGTTTCAGCTCCATACAGTAGAACTGCCTTGACGTTCGTATTGAAGATTCTCACTTTGATATTGGTTGAAAGTTGTTTTGAGTTCCATATGTTCTTCAATTGTAGGAATGCGACCCTTGCTTTGCCGATCCTCGCCTTTACGTCTGCATCTGAACCTCCTTGTTCATCGATGATGCTTCCTAGGTATGTGAAGGACTCTACATCTTCCAGAGTTTCGCCATCAAGAGTGATTGGATTGCTGTTCTCCGTGTTGAATTTGAGGACCTTGGTTTTCCCTTTGTGTATGCTGAGGCCTACTGATGCAGAGACTGCTGCTACACTGGCTGTCTTCATCTGCATCTGTTCGTGTGTACGTGATAGGAGGGCTAGGTCGTCTGCGAAGTCCAAATCGTCTAATTGATTCTGAGCTGTCCATTGTATTCCGTGTTTTCCTTCAGATGTCGAGGTCTTCATAATCCAGTCGACCACCAGAAGAAAGAGGAAGGGAGAGAGTAAACAGCCTTGTCTGACTCCAGTCCTTACTTGGAATGCATCTGTCAGCTGTCCTCCATGCACTACTTTGCACTGTAGTCCGTCGTATGAGTTCCGGATAATGTTGACAATCTTCTGAGGAACTCCGTAGTGTCGAAGAAGTTTCCATAATGTCCTCCTATCTACACTGTCGAATGCCTTTTCATAATCAATGAAGTTGATGTATAGTGATGAGTTCCACTCAACTGATTGTTCGACGATGATCCGTAGTGTTGCAATTTGGTCTGTGCACGACCGATCCTTACGGAATCCAGCTTGTTGATCTCGAAGTTGGGCGTCTACTGCATCCTTCATCCGGTTCAGCAACACTCTGTTGAAGACTTTCCCTGGTATTGACAGTAGTGTAATGCCTCTGTAGTTTTCACATTTGCTCAGATCTCCTTTCTTTGGAATCTTGACGAGGTGTCCTTCTTTCCAGTCCATCGGCACTTGTTCCTCCTCCCAAATCTTTTTGAATAGAAGGTAAGCATGCTTGTGGTTGCTTCGATGTCTGATTTCAGTGCTTCAGCTGGTATGTTGTCGGGTCCTGCTGCTTTCCCGTTCTTGATTTGTCTGACGGCCATTCTAATTTCTTCCGTCGTTGGTGGGTTGACATCTATAGGAAGATCTATGTGTGCTGCTTCGATGTCCGGTGGATTCATTGGAGCCGGCCTATTCAGGAGTTCCTCGAAGTATTCTACCCATCTGTTACGCTGTTGTTGAATTTCGGTGATTGGCTTGCCTTCTTTGTCTTTGACCGGCCTCTCTGGTTTACTGTATTTCCCTGCTAGTTTCTTCGTTGCTAACCGGTAGGTAAATGCAATGATATAATGTAGTCGAGTGATGTTTGCTCACGAGGCCATATTATTCACTTAGGCCACTTGAGTGATTAGAAATTAAAGACAATACCTCTAGTTAGGTGGATGTTTTTTCATGTAGTAAAATGACATTCTCATATACAGAATATGAACGAAAAATAAACGTAAAAGAATATTGTAAGCCGTTAGACGAAATTAGATTGTAAGTCATTCATTCACCAATCAATTGAGACTAGTCTGTTATCTTCAATGTCCGGGCATCGTATCAGATTGTCACTTATATTCTGGGTCGTTGATATTTACCAGACAGTAAATCGTACTTGTTCTGAAAATCCCTTGTACTAAGCTATTATTAAGTAATAATTAATCAGTTTGAATGGTTTATTGGGATTATTTGTCCATTTCAAAATTTGAAACTTATTTTCCATGCCGGTTTATGACCTAAGAGATACTTGCTAGAACAACAGATCAGCATATCTCACGTAAGAAGCGACATGACAATATTTGAAGAAACCGGAACAAATGATGGGGAATAATGACGTTAACCTTTCTGTCCCGGTACATGGTGATTATTAGTTTGTCACATGAGCATTTATAACTACTCAAAATCAGGAACTTCTTGACTACTTGCGTCCAAGGCTAAGTGGTTGTGCATGCACCTAAAGATGCCACAGGCATTCGGAGTTTGACAGTGCCTTTACATGTAATACCTTTATAATCGAATTATGCAACCCGGTCAAAAGCGTTTGGTCTCAGATAGTTAGTAGTTGCAAAGGATGCGAAGCACGGTGTACCCACTCGTGATCTGGTGCGTATGCGTGACCGAGCACTTTCAGCTAGGGTACGTCCAGTAAAACTAATGTGGTCAGTATAAATGTCAAAGACTTGTAGGACTATTTATTTTGGGGATTTATTCATCGCTACACACCAGGCTTTATAATTGTACTTTAATATTCAATGATTTGAAATATCTTCAGGCTACTTCACAATGTTCGTTTGCAGCCTTTGGTTGACAATCCAGGTACACAACCATGCACTGTTATTTGAAGTTTTCCGTTGTGTCATGAAACACAATTATTGACCTCCAATGTAAGTGATTATGTTTGGGTGCCCAATTAGCGCTGGAAAAACGATCAATACATCTTTAATATATGAACAACACTTACTCTTTATAGGTCAAAATTCTTTGCTCTTTAGAAAGTGGGGTGTAGCGATATCAAACGTGCTCATAGGTAAGTTTCAGGCGGAATACACCATGTGTTTTGAAAATATTTACGAAAGTCGCTTCATTCAAAACTAGTGTGACATTATTTCATTGAATAAAGATCTAGTTAGTTGAAGGACCAGAGTGTCGTTTCCATTGTTATGATATACATCATCACAACAAGCGAAACTTGAGTCATTAGATGAAATTCTTTTATCTTTTGTGCTCTACAGTTTTTACACACTGGTTTCGTTTATGAACTTGAGAAGTATATTTGGGTAGTTACTTGTCAGTTTATCTTTTTATACTACTTTTATGCCTTCATTCCTCAGTAAGATAATAGAACCCGAATCAGTCAGCCACTGGTTAAATTTCATAAACCTAAACCGATAAGTTGCAGCTCCAACTTTTTATGAAACTTAATCAGTAAAATCCCTTTATATATTTTTGGTTTTTATAAGCGAATATTTCTTAAACTTAAGAAAGCACTATTGATATATCTATTTGATGAATTTAAAGTCCTTACACTACTTAGTTAAAAGTCGATAGACTGCTTTATTTCCATGTTTCTAAATTGGTTAGTTTGGTAGTATTTGTAGTTTGAAACCAGCAAATTAATTTATACTTGGTTGACAAAGTAAATATTCAGATTCCTTGTTTACTGCCTATGGTTCTTGGTTGTTTACTGTCAACTGTTACTTTTTTATGATTTTTTGAATGGTAGAAATCAATATGTCCATATATGCTTATGATGATGAGAAAGATTTGCAAGTTTCTTCCAATATATCAACTGTAGCGTCATAATAATCCACTTTATCATACTTTTCAGCATCATTTAGTTTAAGTAAATACATCTTATATGTAAAACAGGTTCATATGTATGACTTTCGTTCCATCTTTTTTAATTTCCAAAGTTAGACCCTGAAATGGTAAAGCACCATCCAAGCTATCATCAAGTTAAATTGGACACATGTCGTATGACAAGTTTAATGCCTAAGAACTCAAATCCCGAAGAAATTGAAAGTATGCAACAAATTGTTACTCGTCTAGTGATTTCTGTATTAGTGGATAATCCTTCTTTACATTATTATCAGGTACGTGTAAATATACCTATGCATATTGGTCTTCGCTGCTTAAATTTAAGGTGGCTTATATTTATATAAGATTTTCGGTCATCTAATTGGTTGCCAGTTTTTACACTAATTATTTCATTAAATAGCATCTTTAAGAATATATGTTCCTTTAACTGTAGTTGGCAGTATGAAGTAATTAATATATCACAATTTGTTATTAACACACGACCCATTAAATGGTTTTCTTATTTACTATCCTATCTAGTTACAATCCAAAAATGTTATTGACCATTAAATTAATTACGTGTATTTTACTTATTACTTTCTAACTACATCAAGTAGAGCTCTATACCGTCAATATGCACTACATTTCCTAATTTTTTTCCATAAAAATAAGTGAGGTTTTCATCATATGTATTTCAAATCCTTAACTTAAAATCTAACTTGTTGTAATTATTGCTTTAGTATCGTTGGGGTATTTCAGTTATCCCTATAACATAATGTGCGTCGTATTTCAGTAATTTGTGGCTATTTTCTTTGTTGAACTTGGTACTTGGGATTTTTTTGGAACATGCAAGTAATGGTAGCAAAGGATTGATTTCACTTCTTCTGAACTGTCTGACTCTTTGATCCATAGCAGTTGGTCTGTTCTGGACCATACAGTTAGAAGTACAATAAAATATAGCTGTATAACTGTCAGAATAGTAATGGTGATTACAATAAGATTATTAAATTTATTTATTAGAAGTGATTTGATAGTGATAGCAAGTCATTTCGGTCTAGAAATTTAGTCATGAAAATGGTTTTATGATAATGAAAGCTTAGAAACAACTGTATAATCAACTCAACTGACCGAAAATTGAAAGATAACATACAGTTTTAAAGTAGAGAGTTTTACAGCCTTCGGTGAGATTTCCAAACTTGCATTTTAGACAGCGAGTAGTGGAAGTTCATACTGTTCCTATTAATAATACGAAGTTTATTATTACCATTAGCATACTAGTATTGAATCAGTGAAGTTAATTCTTTCAAGATATTATTTTACGATAAATAGAAATACACGGAGAAGGCATATGTTATAGTTCAGTTGCAACTATAAATTGCTAACCATACTAAATCTTTTACCAGTAACAAAATAGAACCACAATAAAGATAATTGTTGAATGTAACAGATTATTTGCAAAGTATGTTGTAAGTTCAGAAAATGATTTATAACTCATAAAACTGTCTATGTATGATATTACTTCATGATTTTTATTATAATTGGTGTTGAAAAATTTAGATCAAATATTTCTCGTTCAACATATTTTTAACTTTGATTATATTTGAACGCTTTTTTGACTATTCAGTTTGTTTTACTGCTGTAATAGAATTTATTCATTTTTCATCTTTGATTCTCATCTTTATTTTTAAGGGTTTCCATGATATTTGTTATGTATTCTTTTCCGTTTTGGGTGAAAGAGAATCTCGAATGTTGCTGAATAAATTGATCCCAACTCATTTCAGGTAAATATTCATACCGAGAATTATTGCAAATATTTTTCATTGTTCCTTAATAATTAGATGCTTTGTATTGTTGCTACGTTTAGATAAGTTTTGGTACAGGATGACGGTGTTTCAGGTTTGATATCATGAATAAATACGTAACAGGTAGCGATCGTGAGCAGTCGTGGGCAACGAAAGCAAAAGAGATGGAAAAGGCAGCGGCTGTATGTAGCACCAGACAGCTCTACAGAGAAATAAAAGAAACGAATTAAGAAGTCAAATGTTAGTGAAAAGACCTGGAAAAAGACGACACTATTATCTGCTCTCAGCCCAGACGTTTAGAACGATGGACGGAACACTTTAAGGAGCAGTACAACTGGTCTTCAGCTACTCTCCAACTACCGAGCATTCCCAGATAGCTGGAATGGAACATTGAAGTATGTCCCCCGACTCTATCTGAAGTTCACAAGGCTATAGTTAATCAGAAACGAGGAAGAGCAGCAGGTCCAGATGGATTGACTCCATATGTCTCTAAGTATAGTGGTCCAGTTTTAGCGACCAGGTTGATTAATATTTTATCTAAAACCTGGGGATTGGACGTGATCTCATCTGACTGACCTCAATCACTGATTGTCCCAATATATAAGAATGGGTCAAAATCATCCTGTGATAACCATAGAGGGATTAGTTTGACTAATATAGCATCTAAAATACTAGCGTCAATAATTATCGGACGTCTAATAAAGACTCGTGAACTGGAAACACGAGAAAGTCAGACTTGCTTGAGACGTGATCGTGGTTGCATTGACCACATATTCACCATTCGTCAGATTTTAGAGCACAGACATGCTTGTCGGTGTCCGACAATGGTGGTCTTTCTTGACTTGAAAGCAGCATTTGACTCTGTAGACCGAGAGTTTCTGTGGCAGTGTCTGTCATTGAAAGGTGTACCTCAGAAGTATATAAACTTTGTGCAGGCTCTTTACCCGCACTACTAGTCGAGTGAGAGCTTATGGTGAACTGTCATCTGTTTTTGCAACCTTGAGTGGTGTCCGTCAAGGCTGTCCACTATCTCCATTTTTGTTCAATTTCATCATAGTCCTACTTCTGATATTACATTCTCGTTGTCTGAATTTTTGGGAACTGATCTCCTACCAGGAGGTTCACTTATCGACCCATAATACGCATATGACATAGTCCTGTTTGGTGAAGACGCTGATAAAACAGAGTCTTTTGGTAGCACTGAGCAACAATGCCAGAATTTTTGAGATGCGTTGCTCCCCATCTAAATTCAAATTGTTGCTTCAGGACTGGCCTGCGTCGACAACTGTGTAGTGAAGCGAAAAACAGGTGAGGACAACCGAATTATATTTAATACAAGATTACCGAGTTATTTAGTAAAATAAAAAAAACCATACTACAATACTTAATTTGAAAAATGTTCATTGATTGTCTCAGACTTCGTTGTTCCTGCGTTTCCATACCAACTGTTTTCTATTCCCGTTCTTCCCGTTTTGATCTCAATTTTCTGCTGCCAGACATTATATTCCCGACTCGCGTCATTTACTACTTATGTCAATATAAGTAGTACACTTCACACTCTTCCCCCCTTTTACTATGCTGTTCTCGCAGTCTTTCTGATCTCCGTACCGCTGTCTTGTTAGGTGCTGTTCGTGACTCGCACTCCTGATAATCTTGAAACCATTTCTGCAGTTGACTGGCATTTACGCGCTTCCGTTTGTCTTCTCTCCGGATCGTGTAAACCGAGCTACGTCTCTCCATGACAATGGTCTGTTCTTCCCACTTCGAAATCGGATTTCCTGACCCTGATCCCCCTGCTATGTTATTTTTCCGTTCTCCACACTTTACCAGGTCCACCACTGCAAAAGGCTTCCACGTCCACCTCTGTTGTTCCGCCTTCTTTGTGTCTGATATTTCTTTCTTTCCCACGTTCCTTACTGCCACCCTCCTCTCTTTTCTTAACCTTGTTGTCGTCCACTTCTGTTCAGCGGGTGTGAGAACACGGCTCACGTATTCTACCACTCTATCAGACTGACTCAAGACGGCACCTATACCATGATCAATTGCGTATGTGGCCACTGTAAACGGTTTCTCGGGTTCAGGGAGTCTGAGTGTCATTCTGCGGTCGTCTAGCATGTTTTTGATTCAGTTGTACGTTTGTTGGGCGGTCTCAGTTCATGTAAACTTAGTGTTGCTCAACAACCTATTTAGTTATTTATCTGAACACAAATATTGGTACAAGGGGGCATAAAATATATATGCGCCACACCAATAACCCATATAGGGGTGCTGCTATTTCGTTCTTGACGAACCAACTGTAGAATGCCGCCCTTCCCAAGAACTGTTTCAATTTCCTTTTAAAATTAGGTACTACAATGTTCTTTATGGTTAGAATTTTCTCCGGCACTGGTTTTATTTCTCCATTTCCCACTTTATGCCCTAACAACGTGACGCTACTTTTCGCTATCTGCGTCTTGTCCTTATCAATTTCAAGTCCGAATTCTTCAGTTCGCTTTAAGACCACTTCCACATGCTTGACATGATCTGTTTCTGTCTGGCTGCACACAACTACATCGTCGCCATGCACCTCGACGTTACCTAGATCCTTGAGCAGTAGCGTCATCGATCTTCTGAACCTAAATGGTGCACCCACCAACTCGAACGGCACTCGTCTAAATTGATAATTTTTATCACGTCCAGTAAATGCTGTCTTGTTTCGATCGCTCTTTTTTATAGGCAGTTGCCAATAACCTGACCAGCACTGTAAACGCCGTAGCATTCTGCAGCCGATCTAATGTTTCCTCTACTGTTGGCATTGCACAAGGTTCCAGTTCTGTTATATTATTCAGTTCCCGAAAACCGACACAAAATCTGTACTTCCCGTTCGATTTCCTTACCAAGAGTATCGGCGAGCTATACAAGCTGTCCGCTTCCTCATTTATACCTCCTTTCAACACCCCCTGGACCTGTCGATTTATCTCACCCTCTAAATGCAAGAGACGCGACGTGTTGCAAATATGCTTGCTCGATCGTTCTTTATCGGGATTTCGTGCTTTAATTTGTCACAAAATCCGTACGGCCGTCCGTCTCCAGTAAACAGTTTCGTATACTTTGTGCACAACTCGTTAATGTTTGGTTTCTTCGCCGAAACATCCGTTGCCCGTCTTACCTCAACCACTTCGCTAATTTCATGTATTGGGAATGAACCATACTTTGTGACCACCTTACGGCTTCTTAAGTCAACTATTGCTTTTACTTCTCTCAGGTAGGCTGCTCCTAATGTCGGTCTCGATAAACTTGTGGTTACTACGAACGGGAAATTTATCTCAGCATCACCCACTTTTACGATACTGTTAGACACCCAACACCTCTCACATGTGCGCTCGAATGGTGTGAACTGTTACTGTACATGGCTTGAGTCTCTTGAATTGCTCTTTGTTTATTAACTATACTGCTGCCCCTGTATCGATCAGACAATAAATCTCGTTCATTTATGTTCACTCTTGTGTAGAATACCCCTCTATCTACTAGTGCAACCCCCCCCAGATTCCTAGGGTAGACAGAACACTCGTGATAACGTTTAAAAATCTACGTCTTCGTCTTATTGGACAGTTTATCTTCCAATGTCCTGTCCCTCCACAAGTGTAACACTTATCATTCCTTTTATGATTCACTCGTATTACCGCAATCTCACGCTGCAGCTCCTCAATCTTCTCAACATTATTTGTCTCCTGACTTACGCACCCAACCGGAGCTACTGTTCGGGCAACCTTCACTAGCTCATTGACATCCATAGGTTGTGCGGCGTTTACTAGTTTAAGCTGCTGGGAAATGGTTACAGTTACGCTTTCGATAAACTGCGACGCCAACAGCTGTGCCTCCGACTTCTCATCCAGATTTGGCAGCGCGCGGCGCAACAACCTGGTAAGCTCCGCAGCCAGCACCAGTGAGTCACTATCGATCGACAGCTTCGCTAACCGGAACTTCTTCAGTGCTTCTTCCCTGTCCACTGGGCTGACGAACTCCGCGATCAACCGCTCCGTGACCACCTTCCATGTCGTCTTCCCGTCAACACTGAACTTACGAACTAATTCTTACTTCCTGTACTATATCCTTATACACAATCTTTCTTTTATATATCACTTTCATTGAAGTAACTACTATGGATTACGTGTTTATCTCGTTGTCTTAATAAGGTATGGTAAATTGGAAGTATGCATATATATGCCTGGTCCTACGTTGTAGCTGACTGACTGACTGAACATGTAGCGGTTTATCATACTTCATATGAACACTTAGGAGAGAAATCTGAAGTGAACTAAAGTTGTTTAGAATTGGACGTTGGAGTATTGTAACATTATGATGTGTGTGGATTAGTAATTTCTTAATAACGTTAAGTGTGTAAAGCACAAAGATATTACATCACTTTTTTAAACGGCTTATATCATCCTTTCATTTCCATACTACACTGTATCAATAACTATTTATGTAGTTATCAGGTCTTATGCTATTATATATGTTTTAAGGAAACCTAAATGTTTTTGTGCTATTTAGATACTTGAAATTTATTATTTACTGAATAAAATAGGGGTGTGGTTGATAGTGGTAGTGGTGGGGAACCATTTACATAGGTTTAAATAAATTGCTAATGTAATTCGTGAAGGTTATTAGCCTTTAGATTAAGTATCATGGTTACATATATGTTAACCTAATGACTGGAGACCACGTGGTAACAAACGTCAACGCCTGGAAACATTTAGAGGATTCAGGTGGAAATAAAGCAGTTGTATAGTTGAACACATGAAAATATTCACTCGTTTGTTTTATTTTTCAAGTAGTGTTGGGCTAGTTCATGATGTCTGCAAAGCATTTCTGTCCATCAGTTAGAAATCTTATAGGTATAAAATAATTTAACTTCTTTCAGAATTCAGAACCCAGATCATTTGAAGCACTTTTATGTACAGATGCAGGAGATTAGTGTGAAACTGAAATGCCTCTGGTTGGTCAGCTTTATCATTAGATTTTGTAGACACAGATTGATTTATCTCTTCACCTCTGTGAAGACTTGATATCGAAATGTAAACCATAATTGAGTTTTAGCCATGAATAAAAAGTGTTCATTAGCCTAGAGTCATTAAGAACTTCATTTGAATTCTATTGATACTTTTTGAATGGGCTTACAGAACTTAGAAGCAGTATGGTCAAATCATGGGGATGATACATAGCAATAATAACTAACGATCTGAAGATGTATAAAGCTTATAACTGGTAACTCGCTAACCATAACTAAATTAAATTTGCTTAATTTAATGTTGATTAATTAAGTAGATATATTGTAGTTTCATGTAAAAACTTTTCTAATATATGAGTAACGTTTGTTAAAATAAACTTGCAGAATAACCTTAAATAGTTAGCTAGGTTTATGAGTCAACTAAATGTCATGTATATGTATATTTGTCTAAATGTTTTATGAGTTTTTTTTTCACGATAGCTATTGATTAATTTTTGTTTTAAATTCACATTCTCAATAGTTTGTTCATGCAGAAATCTATGGATGTAACTCTCGAATACATGCAATTGATATTCGCCTTGTTAGAACATGTTTCAACTTCTGTACTGAATAGTATAGAATCTGTTGAGTTAGGCCCAGATTTCGCTATTGCTTGGATTATTACTTGGTTTGCTCATGTTCTACCTAATATGGATGATGTCAGACGCCTGTTTGATCTATTTTTAGCAACAGATCCTATCATGTTGGTTTATGTTTCAGTTGCTGTGAGTTTGTATTATTTAAAAAAAAATAGGATATCGAAGTAGATTTCACTACTTCTGTAATGTATTAGGATATTAAAAAGGTGGATAATAAAAAGTTGATATATCTTTCTCCAGAATTTTCTTTATGGATTCTATTCTGGAAAGTTACCTCATACTACCTTGTCACCTTTTGTTATAATTTCTCTTATTATGACCTAGTTATTCCTATTGCTTAGTAATCTTAGACACAAATTCACTCGACAAGTCCTCAAATCAGAGCATCGTTAAACAGGAACTGAATTACATTTCAAATAACAAGGGTATATGAAAGTAAGAGTTACAATAAGAAAACCTTTAGTATATTTACAGTTTTTACACGAGAAGATTCTAGAGTCTTTCCCAAGTATCCACTAGCGCTGATTAGATAAGAAATAGCCAGACTACTTGGTTGGGGTCTGCGTGACTATTGTAACCAATGTTTAGAGACTCTGGATGACATGGCTCAGAATCGACCACAATGGGGTCGGTGTATACACTCTTTGTCTTCCCTTAAACCGTAAGACTAAAATTGCTTTATATCTTTCTTTCTACGAGCTAATTCTTTCTTCCTGTATGATATCCTTATACTCAATCTTTCTTTTATATATTACTATCATTGAAGTAACTACTATGATTAGGTGTCTATCTTGTTGTCTTAATAAGGTATGGCAACTTAGACCGATGCATATATATGCCTGGTCCTACGTTGCACCTGACTGACTGAGAATCAGCGTGCCCCAACATAATGCTACACGGAACGTGCTTTAATCCAATCCATATTGCGCTAACCCCTTTAATCAAAATCAATTATGGATTGTTAGTGTTTTTGTTTGTAGTAATGACTATGATTAATGACCTTTAAAGTTATTTAGGCTTATTTTTTAAATTTATCTTTATTATGGATACTTAAAATAACCCATAGTGTCATTGAATAAGAAAAAGAGAATTCAGCGAATAAAATTTTCGTTTTGATTGCTGCAACTTGGTCTTCTCATTTAGCAGTTTTGATTGCCCCACTGATCATTCGTCACCTATTCTTTATTTGAAAAGTTATTAAAATAAATCAAGTGTCTTGTTTATCAATCCTTACCATCTGTCAGACAACTTCAGAAAATCAACGTTGCAAAAAACCTCGAAACGACTTGAAACAATAGATTACGTAATTCAACCCTTAAGTAAATAGATTTCAAGTTAAGCGTGTAGTTTGGGAAGCGAGGGATAAGGTGATTTACAAAGTTTAAAAACCATTAGTTGAGAAAAGTGTAATATTTAATGAATTACAACCATCTTTGATGTGTATTATCGAAATGAGCGAATTCTTAATTATAATCCTTTCATTGATTGTTGACTTTAGAATTGTAATTTACCTGAGTTACTATTTATAGATCATTGGAATATGACTCAGATATAAGTATTATGTATTAGAGAAAGACATTCTCAACCAATATCATTCTTACTAAAAACTATATTAGGCTTCTTAAACATTGAAAAATCAATGTTGAAGAAAGGTTTTAGTTGATTTTCAGTCTACACTTTATACATAGTTAGTTTTCATTTGTTAGTGAATTTGAACAGTTTAAATTGTTTTGTGTTATTACTAAGGTTTTGTGATTTACTGTTGTTGATATTCGGGACTGCAATTGGCCAGTTTCTATTTTGGAAGTTTACTAAAACTTGTGATATAATGCTGTTAGCGGGCATAGACTGGATTAAAGCATGCTCAATGTACGATTGCTTTGGTGCACACTGATTGGCTAATCCTTATCCAATCAGCACTAGTCGATACTTGGGGAATACTCTAGAATCTTCTCATGTAAAAACTATAAATATACTAATGTTTTCCCTATTGTGCTTCTTACTTCCATCTAACCTTGTTATTTGGAATATGATCTCTTCTCTGTTCAACCGTGTTCTGATTTGGGGACTTGTCGGGTGAATCGATGTCTGAGAATTCTAAGCAATAGGAATAGCTGGGTCATAACCGTAAGAAAGAGATTATAACAAATGCTGTATCAAGGCAGTCGTTTAAGATTCATACATGGTAATTAAGACTAATCAGTTACAGTCCTGAATATCAACAGTGTGAAGTTGCAAGCCCTTATTAATACCTTTATACTTATTGAAAAAGTTAGTGGCCATGTAGATTCAGTTGCCCAATGGACAACAAATTGTCCGTTTGAAGCTAAACACATTGATTCCAAATTTCTGTGCAAACATTATGTATGGTAGTGAAAGTAAATATGATTGGCCACTAAGCGTGGACAAATAGGCACACAGCTTATTGGATATCAAATATGTAATTTCCTTTCATTCTATTGATATCTACCACGGACTCACTGCGAGTGATTGTTTGTAATTGTATGGAGTAAAGTGTTGTCTAGAGTTACACTGGTTCTCTATTTGCGATTGTGAATCGGGTATATGATATGACATGATTTAATCTGCGTATAACGTGTAAATCGAGTATTCAATCCAGTGGTAGTACAAACTCGGTCACCAGTCTTATCGTACTATATCGTGAAACGAGAGGAAAGATTTCCATTAATCCGTTATATCACATCACTAAAATTCAAGTACATTCAGCTGATGGATCCAAAATGCGATGGAACGTTCCCGCTGTATTCTATTGCTAGACACGTTCCAAGAATATGAAATGGTTGCATATTGTCTACTTTTTTGTTTTATACACTTTTCATGATTATTTTTCTACTCTTTAATAACTAATAAACTATTGTTGATTTCGTCTTAAAATTAAAAATATCCCTCTTTTCATAGATAATTACTATCAGTGCCAAAGAAGTGGAATCAACACCGTTGGATTTTGCTCTTTTGTATCAAACACTTGCACGTCTACCTAAACTACATCCTGTTGAGGAGCTTATCCGTGAAGCTTTAAAAATTTACATTGATTTAGAACCAGACAAATTGATTGAATTAGGCAATAAACGTATTCTAAAATATCGTGAGCAAAAATTACTAAACCGATCACCAATAATACGTCAACCATTTTCAAAACCTACAAATAAACATATATTATGGGGATTAGTTACGCAGCATCAAAGAACTATTTTCTCTCTTAGTCTTATCGTCATTGTAATTAGTTATTTATTAAATAAAAGTTTAAAAGACTAGAAAAAAAAATGAAAAAAAAGACCTAATTATTACTGTTCATAGTTATGTAATAGAGTTGATTATTTTCCAAGTTATTTTGTCAATACTTTATTCAACTTGTTCAGAAACTTCTCTATAAATATATTTATTATTTCTTGGAAATGCTTTCAATGCGAGCTGATGTATGCAGTATGTTCACCTCTTTTTATTTCAGAAATCTTTCTTCCCTTCTTTTTTCCACCCTGTTTTATGTCTTTTTATATTATGGATATTCTATGTCTATGTAGTATTGTTGGTGAATTGTACGGTAGATAAGGAATCTGTTTGATTTTTCTCCTTAGGAAAATTTCTGATGATAATAATTTCATTATTTATTTTTATTATTTATATATATTTTTTTGATAAATAAATTTATGGAACAAATATTTGTTCTGATATGATAAAAGACACATTGTTTCAACTTATTTACTAGTTTGTTCTGCCTATTAAATGAACGTAATATATTGTTACATTTAGAACTGGTGTCTCCTAGAGTTGATTCTATTAATATAAAGTGCGTGATTATCTTCATGATGCAGGTGTAAATCGAGCAAATTTCATATGCTTATAGGGTTCAATCGCTTATTCCTCAGTTAATTAACAAGACAAATATCCCTCTATGCATTCATATGATTATGTATAGGAAATATGGAAATATCGCAAATTTAGAAAATCGAAGGATGAAAATATTTTTAAAACTAGTCTACACATCCTTTGGCATTTATTTATTTGAACACATAAACACTGGTACAAAGGGGCACCGAATACATATGCGCCAAAAATTCACTTGATTTGTGTGTGGGCCGTGATACTTCCCGGGTGCCTACGCCGAAGCAGGTGGTTTTCTTAGGAGGCCACTCCCCCAACTTTTGACCTAAAGGTCTGCTCCACAGGGCAGTGGAGCAACGTCAGGAGATGCAATCCCATGGTAGCCGGCGACCGACTATTGGTTCATATGTCATTTGTTCTTTCAGGATCCTGGAGCCCAGGTGGATCCTCAGTGTCCACCGATCCGGTTAAAGCTCCGGACATAAACTCATTTCATCAACTAACTAGTTAAAAAAGTTGAAAATTAGGTCAATAAAACAGTCGATGTGAATAAATATTTAAACAGTTTGATCATACCTAGTGGAAATAATAACTGATCACTGAATCACCTATATAGGAATTCTTACAGATCATTTTCTGACAACACTATACAGATCATTTTGCAGGAGCCATCATTCTGTTTTTTCATTTTATCATATCGTTTATCACTTAGAAAGTTTTACAAGAATACTCTGTGTACATGTGCAATATAAATTTATCAGAAGTCTTTCCTTATTCGCATTATGTGAATGGTTTCCGTCTATTTAACTTTTCGATTCCATATGATCTTTAATTGTTCTCAAATCTAATCATCCAACTTTAAAATTCACTTTTGTTAATTCATTCATCTCATTTAAAATAAAACTTGAAATTAATGTGGTGCAATTCAAAGATAGCTGACTTCAACATCAATTATTTGTATACCATAAAATAAATTAAAGCGCTTTGTTTTGTACCCTACTCAATTTATGGTTGTTCCCCTATGTCTACAGTTTATTTATACTTTTTCCTTAAAAATGCATACAAGGAGTGAGGGGTGGTTCAATTATGATGTAACGTCAGCTCATGGAGTCACTGACTTGTTTTAAGCCATGTTGATAAGTGCCGACTACTTGGTTAAGGTGTACACAATAATCACAATCAGTAGTTGAAGTTTTCAAGTACAGCTCAGAATTAGTCACATTTATTCTATTTTGTTACGCTAAGTAATTCTTTTCGAACTAAAATTTGAGCTAATGCATATTTGCATTATATCTTGTTTTATTTGTAACTGTGATGTAAGAGGGTGACTCCAGTGACTAAAAAATATTCTGACTTATACTATTCAGTTTGTCGTTATTATTCTTAAAAACAATTTATTGTTTATTTACTTCCTTAGATTTGTCTGACATCCAGTGAACTTTAACATTTTGCTTCATACGGCAATGAAATTAATCCGTATTCCATCATTTATCATGGTGACTAAATTTTATTTACTATTGTTATTCTTTTTGGTGAATTCGGATAAAAATGTTGTTTTAAATAACAATCCATCTGATTTTTATCAACAAATAAATGCTTGGCCAGATTTTCAATTGGCAGCATTCACTGATTTAAATGCTGATCGTCGAATGGATATTATATTTGCCAATGGCGATGGTTCGAAATTATTTGCTGTTCTACAATCTGACAATAAAGGTTTTCAATCCACTTCACCAATACTATCTAGTGTGAGATTTTCTCCACCTGTTGAAATAATTGGTAATTCTTTGTCTAAGCCTGTCCGTGGTGTCGCTACTTCTGATTTCAATGGAGATTCTCGGATTGATCTTTTACTAGTCACCGGTAGTTCAGATGGGGGACCATTTGATGTATATGTAGCTTATGGCTCAAGTGGTGAATATCGTGGGAAATTCGGTAAGTCAACAGTGATATATATTCTGTGTTATGAGATCATATGCTTTTATGATTTCTGATTCCTACACAAATAAACTTTATTGCGACTCAAGAAAATACAAGTTAAATCAATAGACAACAAATCTTGTTTGTGGAGGTTTGAGTTGATAGTTCAGCCCAACTACTCATACTGATGGATTTTAAACATGACCTTTGACAGAAGAGGGAATAATATGCGTTACTAATATTTGAACTTTAATATTTTCTAAGCGTTCCTCGGTTTCGATGGAACAGCGGAGGGAGCAATGCTAGAATTAGGTATTTTGGGTCGAGGTAAAGATGGTCGGTTGTGACGATGCTGTGATTCTTCATTGAGTTAGGTGGCTGGGTCACATGCTATATCCAATCCCCCTCTACGTTGACTAGCGATACTGACTGCGGTAAGAGTAAATTGAATGGAAGATAGCAGTGGTGAAACTGAGATGTGGCATCAGCCCATGGAATCACTGATAGGTTTCAGCTACCGGCTTCCAGTTAAAAATTAGATGCTATAGTTCAAAATTCTTCTTTTTGAGGCAGATCGATTCAGTTCATATCCCCTCTTAAGTCCATAGAAGAATAAATTTATCTCACAACTTTACCTAAATCAAAGTCTAGTCTAGAACCTGGTTATATGACACACACATGCCATGGTATGGCCTAGAGTGGGGAGAGTCAGCTCTCCCTCTCTAAATGCTCTCACATGGCTACGCGTATACAGCCATTATCAGGAAAGTCCGACTCACTGCCTTCTCGCGGTGGGGTTGTTGTTTACGAAATTGAGAGGACGAAAAAGCGAATGTCCGGTAATTTAATCGTGTTGGTGGATACGGAGGATCCACCTTGGAGAGTTAGAAAACACTGATTCGAAACCAATCGTGTGAATGGGCTCCAGGATCTTAAGGAAACAAACGGCGTATGAAACCTATTGTTGGTCACCGGCTACCATAGGACTGCATCCCTTGACGTCACTCCGTTGCCTTGTGGATTAGACCTCTTGGCCAAAAGTTCGGGGAGTGGCCTCCTAAGAAAACCACATCCCTCGGTTTTGGCGCCCGGCTAGTATCTCAGCCCTCACACAAATCGAATGATGTAGTGTGGCGCATATCTGTCTGGTGTCTCGGTTACATGTGTTGTACAGATTAATGTTATTTCTTGGCAGTCTGATTACAGAAATTTAGATGAACATAATGTTAATATCTTGGGCTGTTGCCAGATGAGTTAGAAGGTACACTACTGCATCAAGTATAAATTCATACCGCTACACATGATATGATTTATCTTCATAAAGATATCGTGCTTGCAACAATTCCTGCATTTGCTAGGTCGATCTCGTTTATAGTCGTAGGTATGCACTGGATATGAGGAGGAATTAGCACGAAATATCCATTTGATTATTCCTGTTTTTCAAGAATTCTCTGGCTGGTTTTGTACCTCCTGACGAAAATCATTTTAACTTCTAACTAATTGTTCAAATAGATTTGATATTATCTGGGAAATTCGGAATCTAGTTAATGCACCTATTTTTTATTTTAAAGCGTGTATGCTCTTCATACCCACTGATAAACCTTATAACTATTACAAATCCAAGCTATTATCAGATTCTATCAGGTGTTGTCTAATAATGTCTAATTGGCACATTAGTCATTAAACACACTACATAAAAACTTACCGTTATTTTATCTTCATGAAACTAGTTTAATATGATCTGAATTATCAGGTACCGTACTTCACTTCTTTATCAAATGACTTAAAAATCTTGACTAATTAGTTTCATCAGAGTATATTTCCACACATCCATACATTGCTAGTTTTATTCATGTGTTCATTCAACTCAAAGATTTTCTGTAGTATGACTAGGCTATAGATACTGTTTAATGTTTTTGTGTGTCGGTTTTTTGTAACATTTTTGACAGGAATTTACAACTACATTTTTCTTTCTTAAAATAGTTTACTTTAAAATGTTAGAGATAAACATGACTTCTAATGTTGTTACTTTTTTAAAAATTCCTAATAAATGTTCAGGTTCACCAAAATTTCTGGATACTTTTACTTCTCAACCATTAGTATGCGATTTAAATTCTGATATGATTGCTGATGTATACGGCGAAGTGTCAGGACATCGAGTAGCATATATAGGCGGGTATGTTAATTTCTTGATTTATTTGTTTGTTCTCCGAGTATAATCAAGGCTTTTTTGTCAACTGGATCTTAAAAGGTTTAGCTTTTTCATCATCCCAGTTTTTTTTATTAATGTATGGTTTTAATAGTTGAATTCATGAGTTTGTCTAAGCTAGACAACCGTTGAAAACCTGGAGGCATTGGACGGCCGTTTCTTCTTAGTATGGGACCTCTTAGCAATGCGTATCCACGATCGCGCTCTCGGGACTCGAACCCAGGACCCTCAGTTTCGCACGGAAATGCTTGACCTCTAGACCACTGGTCCGACATTAAACGGCGTTAATATCTAGTTTTAATCTATCCATAATCTTGCGCAACCCTCCACCTATTGTCTGAAGTTAGAAATTAGCACCGTCCCATGTCGGATCAGTGATCTAAGTTAAGCATGTTCAAGCATACATATTTATACAAGTACAACAATAATAAAGGTACATTAAGTTGTTATCGTACGGATGGCTCTGTCCGCTAAATAATTTAACAAAAGGTCTTGACCGAATTCAATGAGAACAAACTCAATTGCACGTGAGTTGCTAAAGTACATTACTTACCGCCTACACATATATTTATTCTGCTAGCTTTATCATTAGCTGCTTAAATGATTCGATGGTTCATCCATTTCCTTATATACATATACATGTACATTTAAACCTACACACTACTCTACTCTTTCGAGTCGCTGACTCATTCAGTTGCCTCTCTGT